ATGCCTTTTCTTCCTCGATTCTACACTGACAAATAAAAAAGGGGTAAACAAAACCCACTTTTCCAATAGAAAGATCAGCAAATGCATTGTTAGCTCGAGATGAGTATGCCGACTGCGCAGTTGGTGATTGTGGTTGCGCAGTTGGAGTAGTAGTTATAGCTGGTGCTGACGTCCCAACCATTCCCATTTGCAAACCTTGAAGCCCCATCGCTGCGTTTTGCTCAAATGGATTCGGAAATCCGAATGGCTGCATAGGTGGAAACGTCATTCCGGGCATGGGCGGTCCACCCAAAGTCATTGGTGGTAAGCCCATCTGCGCTCCCATGGGCACATTAATCATGGCTGGAGCTACCATTGGCGCAGTATTCATAGCAGGAACTGCCATAGGTATTGTCCCTATCGTTGTTCCTGTGGTAGGGGCTCCCAGCAAATCTGCAGTTGAGGTCTGCTGTTGATGCTGAGGTTGTGGAGGCGCTGCTTGTAGGCCAAAAGCTGCAAAACCTCCAACAGGCATAATGGGATGGACAGGATTCTGAAAAAGAAAAATGAAATTCAGATATACAACGGAGAGTCACCTCACCTTTGTCTGGTCACCAAAGAGTGATAAAATATCAGCCGTGGACTTCTTTTCTCCATTCATTCCACCAGAAGACAGCGACATGAGGTCACCACTAGCTTGTGAGGTAGATATAGGTTGTTTGTTGGACCCAGTAGGAGAAGGCTGATCCGCTGCTGTACTAGTAGAAACGGTCTCAATTACAGGAGCGGATGTGAATGAGCCAAACATATCGTCAAGGTCTGACGACTTGCTCGCGGGAATATTCTGAAACAACAGTGTCAAATTATAGACCTACTCAAGCAATGACTCTTCTATTTGAGTTCTTTCTTTCATAACGTCTTACTCTAAGAATATGGGTAACTTAGGGTAGCGATGGTCTCGTATGAATTACAAACATATTCCGCCTATCACTCTGAACGTTTGAGCCTTTGGCACAGCAATTTGTGGCGATTACTTTGCAGAATTGATACATAGTTGCTACAGAAGTCCTTATCCCTCCTTAACTGAGTTAAAACAGCAAACGAAAATTCAAATCTAAACTCAAAATGACCCTCAGAACAAAGGACCTATACAAAGGAAGAACACTAGTCTAATACACTGAGGAAATACTGTCATCCGAAAAAGTTCTTAGTGAATGCCTGTTTGAGAAACATAAAAAGTGATACCTGATCATTCGTAATAGACAAAGACGACAGATCTCCAACCAAAGAATGGTCACCATTAGCCTGGTTCGATGGACTAGCTGGAGAGGAGAAATCCAAAAGATCAGTAACAACAACATTGTCTGGTTTGGATTTAGTAGAAACCGCAGCTGCAGCGGATACCCGTACTGTAGTAGGCTGCAAATAAAGATCTGACCTCAAGAGTAAAAACAGACGCGTAAAATGCAAATTATTCATTGTTGAAAGTAACACTGCCATTATGAACAGAGAGAATAACTTCAAAAAACTAAAAATCTGTGGAAAACCTTTACTTCGCATTTTGCATAGCTATGACTTTTGACTGGTTTTTTAGAGTTTCATCGCTTGTCTAAGTATTTCCTCGATTCAGAATTTATAAGTCAGGGCAACAGAATTTAGGTGTAAATTTTGCGTTCCAAAATTTCGCACAATACTCATTAGATGGTCAAAACCTCATTAC